ATGAAATCACGATTTTTCATCCAAAACCAATACTTTTGAAGTCAGCCATTAAACTAGCAAAAGCACAAGGATCAACCTTAACAAACTACGGAATAATCCACTTGTAAATTTTCCTTGTTCACATTAAAACAATGAAACAAAACAAACTCTTAAATAAACCATTTAAGCAAACCTTCCACATCACAGATATAAAACACAATATCATCGGAATTCCATTCATCACTAAATACATACAAACTATCAATATATTAGACAGCAAAATTAATATAAAAGGTAAATAGACAAGAATGCATAACACCGCTTTATCATTCTTCTAAAGAATGAACAAACAACAACCAATTTTCTCCCCTTTAAATTTTAAACAAAAATTTCACCCCATTTATAATAAAGAAAGAAAACATATTAAGCCTCTCTCAGGATATATTTATGAATTTCCGATCTTACAAGTTCACCAATACAACAAAAATTAAAAGAGACAACATCTCTATATGTCTGACTTTGAATTTAGACCAATTCACAAATTTTTAGAGTAACAATTTTATCCATAAAATACATCAAAAACTCAAATTCTGAAATTATTTCTTTACATGTATACAATATTTCACAATATAAAAAAAGCTTCCTCTAGGACTCCTAGGATACTGTGAAACTAATGCAAAAAATTCTCCTACAAAACAAGTAGCTTATTGAGTAAATAATATATTACCACTATTAGATATATGTCAATCAACAATTCTTGACAAAGAATTATCCATAAATCATATAATAAGCAACGAAAGAAGAAATACAGACTTTTTCACAAAAACACCTTATTTTAGACCAACATTCAAAATTTCACACTATACAGAAGAACAGCAAAAATTCTTAACATTGTTATATTTTCAACACTCTCAAATAACACAGAATGAATTTGAAAAACTAGCTGGTTTACTATTAAGATACCCAACAGTTTATGCCAAATCTAAACTCGACGTTGGAAAAATAAATTCACCACTACATTTACCTTTGAAACCTGATGCAGTTTTCAAAAAACAAAGGGCAAGCAAAGTACCAATCCACTTATATGACAAAGTTAATAGATTACTTCACATTCTAGAACAATATGAAACAATATCTCCAGTAAATAAAGAAGAGCAGCCAAAAGCAAATAACTTTATCAACCCTGTTTTTATTTTAGCCAAAAGAGAATCACTAAAAATAGTTCTAGAAGCTAGATATCTCAATTCACTCATTAATGAATCTAAATGTAATTGGCCTATAGAACCAATTCAAGTAATTTTGACAAAAACAAACGGTAAATACTTTACAATCGCAGATATGAATACTGCATCTAATCAAATGGCACTGGATGACCAATCACGACGATTAACACAATTCGTTATTGGAAATCATCAATACGAATTTATTAGTTTATTCTATGGCATATCCATAGGACCAGCAGCTTTCTCAGCTTTCATGAGCCAAATTTTTAGACTACTTGTACTCATTAAAAATGCAATCACATACTTAGACAATTTCTTTATGCAATCACAAACAAAAGATGAAATTTTCATAGTTCTAGAAAAAAATCACCAAATTTTACAGAACGAAAACATGAAAGCAGCCCCAGATAAATCACATGATTTCTTGACACGCGTAAAATTTCTTGGACACATCATAGAAAAAGATACTATAACCCCACTGAAATCACGAATTGATGCAATTCAAAAACTCCAACCACCTACAAACAAAAAGAAAATCCAAGGTTTTCTTGGAATGTTAAATTTCTTAAATAAATACGTCTATAAAATGCAATTATATTTAAGACCATTCTATAACATTCCTGGACAGCAAAACAATTTTGAATGGACAACAGAACATCAAACACGATTTGAAGAAATAAAAAAAACTTCTCACCGAACAAATTTCAAACACAATCCCAGATCCTAATCAATCAATTTATGCAATGTGCGATGCTTCAAATTTTGGCATCGTTGCAGCATTATTACAATCCCACAATGGAACAAATAAAATGAATCTTAGATTAGCAAATTCTCGCTTATTGACACAAGCTGACTTACGACTCTTCACTCTTATGAGAGAATGCACAGCTATCATACACACTCTAACAGAATATGAATTTTTGACACTTGAATCAAAACATCCAACATTTTTATTTACAGACCACAAACCTATCATATTTCTTTTTACACAAAAATCAAATCCAAACCATTTATAGAGTTTATAGATTTCAACTAATACTAATGAAATTTCCAAACTTACACATAGTATGGACAGCAGGAAAAAACCTTGCACTACCTGACACTCTTAGTAGAAATACACCATCTGAACTACTAACAAGGAAAACAACAGCTGAAACTTCACCACGATTAGAGTGTAAATATGCAGTAAAAAAGTGACATTGAACAATCACAAATGAACAACCTACATCTTTTTCCACTCTATTTAGATTGAAAAAACAACCATTATGAAGTTGATCTATTAGGCACATCTACATTCAAGCCGATTCCATGTTCACATTAGATCAAAATTAATACTCACCAGAAACTACTTAAAAAACCACATAAAAAGGACACATTCCCTTTAGTAGAAAAAGAAAACCTAACGGAACGAAGAAATTTATCAGGACCGTTACCAAGCGAATCAAAATACACAATAAATCAAGTTTTTAATTTACATGAGCCACTTGACACCATACCCCTATCAAAAATAGAAGTAGAAAACATTTTCCTGCCAACAACAGAAAAAATCACAATAGAAATATTACAGAAATATCAAAACCTTGATCCCGTCATTAGACAGCTAAAATTATGGCGCAAATACAAAACTAAGCCAACCAAAGCTGATACCACAATCTTAGGAAACAAAACACTCCTTAGATACTTCAGAAAATTCAATAACACTACCATAAATGAAAACACAGACATTTTAGAATATCAAACATCTAATTTTAAAGTACCATGACTCCCTTTGAGTATGATGTTATTAGCAATCAATACTTCACACACCTTACACACTAAAGGACATTCAGGATCAGAAAAAAAAACATATTCTAACTTTATTCAAAATTTTTATTTCCCAAATAGACCAATTTGGATCAAAATATTATGGAATGATTGTATAATATGCCAATTAAATAAAACCTACCCAAATCAAAAACAAATTGCAGAAAAACAAGATTTCAAAGGACAAAGTCTATGTTTTAATCGCAGAATATCATTTGACACAAAAGGGCCAATTTCACCATTCTCAGAAGGAAACTCATATATAATGGTATTTTTTGATGCATTTACACATCATGTAGTACTTAATCCAGTACCCCATTGTAATGTCTACTATGCATATACAACACTCTACGAACACTGGATAGCTAAATTCGGATTACCTGAAATACTAGTCACAGACAATGGGACTGAATTTATTAATAATGAAATTATCACATTATTCCACTTATATAATATTAAACACAAACCACGTACATCTCATGCACCTCGGACAAATGGATTTGTCGAAGGTATGAACCGTTCATTACAAGAATACCTCAGATGTATCATAGATGGGAAGACTAGGAATATCACCATATGAAATGGTAATTAACCAAAAATCACGTAAACCAAAAATGTTTACAGCAAACGCCAATAAAAATGCACGAGGTTATTGTCAACCAAACAAAGATTCAATTTGTTATAATTTATCATCACATACCCATAATGAAGATCACTTTCATCACACACAAACACATACCGAATGGATTTTAAAAAGAGATAAAAAACACAACAAAAATGACAAAAAAAAATTGCTGCAAAGGCAAAACATAAATAACCAAATCAATCCACGCTTTAAACCAACAACAGATTTAAAAAATGGAACATTTGTTTTAATTCCCAACTTTACGACGCAGAAAGGAATTTCTAAAAAACTAAAACCACTCCGAAAAGGACCATACCAGGTAATTGACATACCACTGATGTCACATACAATTTAACTGACACAAATAAAGAATAAATTATTCAACATCGAAACAACCTATTACCCTATTACCCAAAAGAATACGCACTCCGTGAATTAACACAATTATATTCTTTCACAGGTTTAGAAATTGTTCAAAACAATTCAGAAAATGAATCGAATCAACACACTGATGAACAAATGAATTCAAAAACAGACCAACAAAAAGAACTCGTTCACCAAACATTCCCTTCCCCTAAACACCAGTCAATGAAATAGAGCAGAATCAAATATTATTTTTACTTTCCAACTTGGAATGAAATCACGATTTTTCATCCAAAACCAATACTTTTGAAGACAGTCATTAAGCTAGCAACAGTACAAGTCTCAACCTTAACAAACTACGGAATAATCCAAATTTTCCTTGTTCCCACTAAAACAATGAAACAAAACAAACTCTTAAATAAACCATTTGAACAAACCTTCCACATCACAGATATAAAACACAATATCATCGGAATTCCATTCATCACTAAAGACATACCAACTATCAATATATTAGACAGCAAAATTAATATAAAAGATAAATATACAAGAATGCATAACACCGCTTTAGCATTCTTCCAAAGAATGAACAAACAACCACCTTTTTTTTCAAAATTTTACCCTATTTATAATAAAGAAAGAAAACATCTTAAGCCACTCTCAGGATACATTTATGAATTTCCGATCATACAAGTTCACCAATATAACAAAAATTAAAACAGCAACATCTTTATATGTCTGACTTTGAATTTAGACCAACTCACAACTTTTTTAGATTAACAATTTCATCCATAAAATACATGAAAAACTCAAATTCTGACATTATTTCTTTACAAGCTTACAATATTTCACAATATAAAAAACCCCATCTCTAGGACTCCTAGGATACTGAGAAACTAAAGTAACAAATTCTCCTGCAAAAAAACTAGCCTATAGAGTAAATAATATAATACAACTATTAGATATATATCAATCAACAATTCGTGACGAAGAATTAGTAAAAAAATTATTTAATAAGCAACGAAAAAAGAAATACAGACAATTTAACAAAAACAGCTTACTTAAGACCAACATTCAAAATATCACAGTATATATAGAAGAACAACAAAAACTCTTAACAGTATTCAATTTTCATTACTCTCAAATAACACAGTATGAATTTGAAAATTTATACGATTTACTATTAAGATACCCAACAGTTTATGCCACATCTAAATTCGACGTTGGAAAAAAAATTCATCACTACATTTACCTTTGAAACCTGATGCAGTTTTCAAAAAACAAAGAGCAAGCAAAGTACCAATCCACTTACATGACAAAGTAAATAGATTACTTGACATTCTAGAACAATATGAAGTCGTATCTCCTGTAAATAAAGAAGAACAGCCAAAAGGAAACACCTTTATCAACCCTGTTATCTTTTTAGCAAAAAGAGAATCACTAAAAGTAGTTCTAGACGCTAGATATCTCAATTCACTCATTGATGAATCTAAATGTAATTGGCCTATAGAACCAATTCAAGTAATTTTGACAAAAACAAACGGTAAATACTTTACAATCGCAGATATGAATAGTGCATCTAATCAAATGGCACTGGATGACCAATCACGACGATTAACACAATTCGTTATTGGAAATTATCAATACGAATTTATTAGTTTATTCTATGGCATATCCATAGGACCAGCAGCTTTCTCAGCTTTCATGAGCAAAATTTTTGGACCACTTATACTCAATAAAAATGCAATCACATACTTAGACGATTTCTTTATGCAATCACAATTAAAAGATGAATTGTTCATAGTTCTAGAAAAATATCAACAAATTTTACAGAACAAAAATATGAAAGCAGCCCCAGATAAATCACATTTTTTCTTGACACGGGTAAAATTTCTTGGACACATCATAGAAAAAGACACTATAACCCCACTGAAATCACGAATTGATGCAATTCAAAAACTCCAACCACCTACAAACAAAAAGAAACTCCAAGATTTTCTTGGAATGTTAAATTTCTTAAATAAGTACGTCTATAAAATGCAATTATATTTAAGACCATTCTATAACATTCCTAGACAACAAAACAATTTGAATGGACAACAGAACATCAAACACGATTTGAAGTAATAAAAAAACTGCTCACCGAACAAATTTCAAACACAATGCCAGATCCTAATCAACCATTTTGAGCGATGTGCGTTGCTTCAAATTTTGGCATCGGTGCAGCATTATTACAATCCCACAATGGAACAAATAAAATGAATCTTAGATAAGCAAATTCTCGCTTATTGACACAAACTGACTTACGACTCTTTACTCTCATGAGAGAATGCACAGCTATCATACACACTCTAACAGAATTTGAATTTTTGATACTTGAATCAAAACATCCAACAGTTTTATTTACAGACCACGAACAAAAAGCAAATCCAAACCATAGAGTTTATAGATTTCAATTAATCCTAATGAAATTTCCAAACTTACACATAGTATGGACAGCAGAAATAATCCTTGCACTACCTGACACTCTTAGCAGAAAAACACCACCTGAACTACTAACAAGGAAAAAAACAGTTGAAATACCACAAAATACAAAATTTTATCTCGCTAACTTAAGATGAAACTTCACCACAATTAGAGTGTAAATATGCAGTAAAAACTGACATATAACAATCACAAATAAACAACCTACAACATTTTCCACACTATTTAGATTTTCAAAATAACCATTATGAAGTTGATCTATTAGGCACATCTACACTCAAGCCGATTCCATATTCACTTTGAATCAAAAATAAAACTCAACAGAAACTACTTAAAAAAAAGACCCATTCCCTTTAATAGAAAAATAAAACCTAACGGAACGAATAAATTTATCAGGTCCGTTACCAAGCGAATCAAATTACACGATAAATCAAGTTTTTAATTTACATGAGCCATTTGACACCATACCCTTATCAAAAATAGAAGTAGAAAACATTTTCCTACCAACAACAGAAAAAATCACACTAGAAATATTACAGAAATATCAAAACCTTGATCCCGTCATCAGACAGCTAAAATCATGGCACAAATACAAAACTAAGCCAACCAAAGCTGATACCACAATCTTAGGAAACAAAACACTCCTTAGATACTTCAGAAAATTCAATAACACTACCATAAATGACAACACAGGCATTTTAGAATATCAAACACCTGATTTTAAAGTACCATGACTCCCTTTGAGTATGATGTTATTAGCATTCAATACTTCACACACCTTACACACTAAAGGACATTCAGGATCAGAAAAAACATTTTCTAACCTTATCCAAAATCTTTATTTCCCAAATGCACCAATTTGGATCAAAGTAATATGGAATGATTGTATAACATGCCAATTGAAAAAAACCTACCCAAATCAAAAACAAATCGCAGAAAAACAAGATTTCAAAGGAGAAAGTCTACATTTTAATCACACAAAAACATTTGACACAAAAGGACCAATTTCACCATCCTCAGAAGGAAACTCATATATAATGGTAATTTTTGATGCATTTACTCATTATGTAGTACTTAATCCAGTACCCCATTGTAATATCTACTATGCATATACAACACTCTACGAACACTCGATAGCTAAATTCGGATTACCCGAAATACTAGTCACAGACAATGGCACTGAATTTATTAATAATGAAATTATCACATTATACCACTTATATAATATTAAACACAAACCACGTACCTCTCATGCACCTTGGACAAATGAATTAGTCGAAGGTATGAACCGTTTATTACAAGAATACTTCAGATGTATCATAAAATGAATTGATACACGATATACTGAATGGTCAAAAGATGTAAAATTATTTCCCTTATCATATAATTCACAAATTCACAAAAAAAGTGTTTACAGCAAACGCCAATAAAAATGCACAAAGTTATTGTCAACCAAACAAAGGTTCAATTTCAAATAATTTACCATCACACACCCATGATGAAGATCACTTTCATCACTCACAAACTTCAAAACTAGCGTTCGGTTTACCTTTAAGCGAACCGCAATACGAACCAACATATAACATCTACCTACAACTACAACAAGATCTTAAGAGAGTAAGACACATCAGCCAAAACCAAAACACACTCGAAATAAATAGACAAATAATAAATCCAAGACGAAATACAAATTTTCAAACTCCCAGAGTTCAATTAAATATATCTCAATCGCCAACATCAAATCCCTTATACCTTTCTAGTAGCACACTATCAGATACACCTCCAACTGCTTCACAACAAAGCATTTCAAATATTCCATCAGATTACATAGGTTCAACCCCCACATCAGAACAAATTAGAGAAAACCCTTTTAATCCCCCAACAGCCACAGAACGTCTTCCATATTGGGTAACTCACAAATACCCTCACGGTGAACCAAATTTATCAAGCAACCCAAGTGAAATTTCATTCGATACAACACTATCCACATTACCAGAAACACATTCCCTTACCTGAACACCTTCATTAAGTCAAATATCACCATCAAAGTTTCCTCTAAATTTTTCTTACAAATCTTGATTCACGATATCAGGAACAACCATCTCATAATATGACACTACAATTAGATTAAAATACATTCGTAGCATCCCCACAAATATTTGGTCAACATCAAGAAAGTAGTAGACTACACAACTGGGCACTAAAAAGATCAAAATATTGACACGATATCCACAAAGATATACAAGAACATAACATCCAAATACTACAACAAAGCAGTCTCACTAAAATTCGAACTTACAGTAAGATTAAATAACATTGTTCAACACCCATTTCCATTAGAACCCCCAAATATTACAGCTCAATCTTTAACTCCTCCATCAATAACAACAGAAATAATATATAAATACGATAGAAATACAAAAAAGACAATCGGATATATAACTTGTTATAACACATACTCAGGATTATCATACACATGGATAATCTAAAATTATTCACATTTCAACACCTTCTTTTTCTCATTTTTTTCGAACCAAACCAAAATCCTTCTCCTCGCACAGGACCTCAGGTTTTATTAGTAACACTTTACGATTGTGAAGAAAACGAACTAAAAAACATTACACAAATATGCTATAAATCAAGTAACACAATGTGAATCCGAACCACAAGCTATAGAAACCACAAATGTAATAGCTACACTATACTCAAAAGCCCGAGCACCAACACTGAGAGGATATAAACTTACAGCAACATTTTCCGAAAAGAAAGTACATTGTTCACAAGTTTCAAGCGAAAATAAAAACAGACTAGACCATTAATATTTTTACCAAAGTAACATCGAAAGCTGATTTTATTCCAGCCCTCAAGACTGAAAAAAAAACTAAAACGACTTAACCTTACACCAAATATGGGTACAAACAGAAAACTTGTAAATTTTCAAGTTTTCCCAGACGTAGCACAACAAGCCGAGCTTGAAAAACACCAAGGTCACATAAGAATAGATACAAAATTCTCTTTCCATGGACCAAACGGAAAATTAACATACGATTTTCATGATAAAAATTGGATACCACACATTGGAATAAATAATTTCTCAAATTGCAAAGCAGACACAAAAAATAAAAGTTACCAAGAGGTAATGTTTTTCGATTGGAAAATACAACTTGAAAAAGTACAACTTACACGCGACTTAAAAGACGATACAATTCTTTATCAAGGAATTTGACTCCCTTGCAAAAACTACCAAGGATATTGCAATCCTACAACACGCACACAAGCAACCATTGTATGCCTCCCCGAAGAAACCTGTAAAGTTTTTCAAGTAGCAAAATTACACGCTAGAATGATTAAATTTCAACAAAAATATTTTATTGAATCAATTCTATATGAAGATATAAACCCTGGCCAGATCAGAACCACAAATCATCAATTTAGAAATGTTCACAACATAGAAAATAATTTAACACGATTTCAAATATACCCAAAAACAGAACTTGCATGTAAATACAACAAGCCAACTTACAAAACACAGTA